CCCAGCCGGCACCATAGGGAACCAATAGAAGGCAAAAATGGAAGCATAAAGATTTTTAAACAACGTTAGTCTTGCCCAAAGGAGGGGAAGAGAGTTGGAACCCAACCATGTCCCCCCCCCTCGGTTGTTGCGATACCCCCAGCCCTGCTCACCTCGGGAAGAGCTGGATGAAAACAGTGCGGACGCCCCGAAAGGAGAGAAATGGCTTTTTTTAGAGCTGTAGTTCCCACGCTGGCCCCATCCCGGGGGGGGGAAGGGGGGGTTGGAGCCGGGGAAGCTCCTTGGGGCAGCCGAGACACGGCGCGTCCCGGGCGGGAGCTGCGGTCCCGGGGATGCTCCCCCCCCCTCGGTTGTTGCGATACCCCCAGCCCTGCTCACCTCGGGAAGAGCTGGATGAAAACAGTGCGGACGCCCCGAAAGGAGAGAAATGGCTTTTTTTAGAGCTGTAGTTCCCACGCGGCGGGAGCGGAGCGGAGCGGTGCGGGGGCCCGGACCCGCGGAGGGGACGCCCCTGGTCGGGCTCAGCCTGAGGTGGGGGGTTGATGGTCCCCGGCTCCTTCCTGCGGAAAAGAGCTCGGTTTTGGGGGGTTTGAGGAGCCCCAGCGCCAGTTTGGCACCAGCACCAGGATGTGTGTGGTGGGGTCACCACGCTGCGGGGGAGGGATGCCACCCAGAGGGATGCCATCCAGGGGGATGCCATCCAGAGGGATCTGGAGAGGTGGGACCGTGCTGAACCTCATGAAGTTCAACAAGGTCAAGTGCAAGATCCTGCCCCCAGGTCAAGGCAATCCCCAGCACAAAGCCAGGCTGGGGGGAGAACGGACGGAGAGCAGCCCTGAGGAGAAGGGCTTGGGGGTGTTGGTGAATGAGAACCTCAACATGAGTGGGGAACACACGCTGGCAGCCCAAATCCACCCCCCCCCGACAGGGCACCCCAGGCTGCATCAAAAGAAGCATGGCCAGCAGGGTGAGGGGGGGATTCTGCCCCTCTGCTCTGGGGAGATCCCCCACAGTGCTGTGTCCAGCTCTGGGGTCACCAACATCATGGACATGGACCTACTGGAGCGGCACCAGAAGAGGACATGGAGATGCTGGGAGGGCTGGAGCCCCTCTGCTGGGAGGACAGGCTGAGAGAGTTGGGGGGTTCAGCCTGGAGAAGAGAAGGCTCCGGGGAGACCTTAGAGCCCCTTCCAGTCCCTCAAGGGGCTCCAGGAGAGATGGGGAGGGACTCGTGATCAGAGAGGGGAGCCATAGAAAAAAGGGGAAGGGTTTTAAACTGAAAGAAGAGAGTTTTAGGTCTCATCTTCAGGGAGGGGAGCCACAGGATGAGGGTGAACCGTTTTAAACTGAAAGAGGAGAGTTTTAGACAAGATGTGGGGAAGAAATTTTTCACTCTGAGGGTGGTGAGAGCCTGGCCCAGGTTGCCCAGAGAAGCTGTGGCTGCCCCATCCCTGGAGGGGTTCAAGGCCAGGCTGGATGGGGCTTGGAGCAACCTGGTCTGGTGGGAAGTGTCCCTGCCCAGGGCAGGGGGTGGGACTGGATGATCTTTAAGCCCTTCAACCCAAACCATTCTGTGATTCTCCAGGTTATGGTGTCCTAAAGGGCAGGGGGTGGAACTGGATGATCTTTAAGCCCTTCAACCCCAACCGTTCTGTGATTCTCTGGGTTATGGTGTCCTAACACTGAAAGTTCAATCAAGATTTTGGCTCCACTGCCTGGCACAGTCACAATTCCTGCACCAGCCAAAATTCCACCAACCAGACCTGCTCTTGGGCCACGTTGGAAGTGCCTCGTGTCTCCCTACACTCCGCAGAGGCAGCACTGAGGATGTGCAGGAGCGTGAGGGCTGGGCATTCACTGGGGCCCCGTGTTCCTTGGGCAGCAAGGGTGAGGTTGGGCATCCTCCTTTCCTGAGACCCCTGATGTGTCAGAGCTTGGAGGAATCAGAGTCCCCTGGTGGGATCAGAAGCTTCCTGAGATACTTCCCCTTCCTCCACACCCAACCATTAACCAGCTACTTCTCCTCTGGAGCTGGGGTGGAATGGACAATTCCAAGGCCTTTTGCACCCACTTTTGCTTCCAAGAAACCTCTGCAGCAGCTCGGGCTGCCTGGGGCCGGTGAATCAAGACGGTGAAACCCAGAATAGAAACGTCAGGCTGAAAAGTAGGACAGGGAGGAGGGGATTACTGAAGGAAAGGCGAGAATCAGGGAGTCTGAAGGCACATCTTGCTTTGTTTTGTCTCCAGTCCCTAAGATACCACCTCCCCCAAAAGAAGGAAGTCTCCCTGCAGAAGAAATCTCTCCTCCAGGAAGACCTCACGTCCATATCACTTTCAAAAACCCATATCCGTGCACACCACGTTTATATTAAGTGTACCAAAGGATGTCAGACAACTAGGGATTGTACGAAAAGACCATCGAAACAAAATATTAGAACATCTGTGAATATTTGTGTCTTCTGTGGGAAACTCAATCAGAGCCTAATTATGTCCCTTTGGCATCGTGTTGACTAGGAAACAGCAATTTAGTAGGACGCTACATTTTTTCAGCAGACATGGCAGCGCAAATGGGCACAGCACCAGGAAGGCGTTTGATTTTAATGAACGTGTTTGTAGATCAAATGACTGCAAGTCAGCAATTTTCTCACTGGTAACCGTTTGCAAGAAACTGTATATTAATTTAAATGACTGCTTATATGCAAGCAATAAAATAAATGGAGTTATTATACATGTTGGATAAAATTACCACATTTTCTATTAGTGCAGAAATTAAAAGTTCTATTATATCGTGGCTCCAAAATTAATTAGTCATGAGAAAGAAATGTGAAGCCGAAGTTATACCATAAAGAACCAAAGAACCATTATTAGCAGGGAAGAGATTTTCTGTAGGTAAAGGGAATGTCTAAATAAATAGTACAATTGTGAAATAAAGTTATAAAAGAAACTTCATCCAATCTTCCTTCCTCCAGCACCCTGTGCCCAAGCTGCTGTGTCTTAGACGTGTTGATGAGCTGGAGCCAAAGGGAGTGAGGGAGCATGAGGCTGATTTTATCTTCAATTCCTTGCTAGAGAAAAACAATGTAGTATGGTGTTCCTTGATGTAGTGCTTTATCCAAAAAAATAACCCTAGACTAGTGCTCCACGAAGTCTGGGAGCTGGGGATGTGAAGAACGGGGCCTCTTTAACACCATTTTCAGTTCTCTCCAGACAAGGTCTGAAGAGAATTTATGCTGTTAAGGAAGGGGAGAGGATCAAAACCGAAGCTGCTGTGGGATTTGAAGCAATTTAGCTGCATTGACAGAGCTCACTTGCTTCATCAGAAAATAAATTTAAGAAACTGGAAGACTGAAACTCTGTAGCAAAAAATAAGCTAAAAGCGGGTAGAAGCCCTTGTGTTCAGCTCAATAGAGCTCAAACAGCGGCTTTTCTTTGGCCGCCTCACAGTCCACTGGTCATCTGTCTATTTCCCTCTTTCCATCACAAATCAAATACCTTCTCAGCAATGTCAGCTCCTTGGCAGCCGTCTCACCCTTGCTTCCAATTTGCCGGAGGAGCCGGAGGACCTCCGACAGCTTCTGGCAGGACCCAGCACCCACATCCCGCTTCTGGAAGGAACATTATTCCAGTAGAAGTGGTGGAAACTTCCCCATGAGCAGTTACAGTCACTTTGCTTGGACTCTGTTAGGAAAAGCATCTTCTCTGCTTCAAGCTCAATAAATATACAGTAGGAAATGTGCAATATTCGAACACCAAAAATTTATTTCAGATATTCCAGCATGATAGCGAGCCTGATAGCACCAAGTAAGATAAAATTATGTTCCCTGCTTTCTGTAGAGACAATAATGTATAACCACAGCCTTCAAAGAAGGGTTTTCAAGGAGGAGCATCTATAGTCTTATTAAAACATACGATACCAAGTATAATCCTACCACTTTCCTTCACTTAGACAAAAGTTCTCCAGATATCTACCAGGCTTCCACATGTACTGAGAAATGTCCACATCACCCTTGGTAGCAACACGTTAGATGTGTCCCTCTGCTGACACACTGGAGCACAAACTCAAAATGTACTAAAGAAGTTAGAAAATCAGAGGCAGCACAGCAAATAATAGATACAAACTGCAGATACAGATACAACTGCAAAAGTATCTCAGCCTAAAAATGCAGGAAAATCTCTTTAAAGTGCAGATAATTGGGCAAAGGCGTGAGGATGTGTAACATCCCAGCGGTAGCCAATTTAATGACTTCAAAGAGGTATTTGTCTAAGATTTTTACATTTGGAATCTAAAATTATGAGTATCTAGGAATACATTTAAGTATTCAAGACTACATATCTTTATAATTGTTACAGATATTGCAGTAAATGAAAGCCTGCCCTGCTGGCTCTCCTCTCCATCTCCACCTCCAGGGTTCGTTCTAGAGGTTACAAACCTTGATGCAGCTTCAAAGCCATGTTTTATTAAATTGAAATTACTGCAAATGCCCTATTTGCTGCTTCTTATGGGGCCAGAAGGCTTTTTGCCCCCACTCTTCAATAAATTGTACTGGACCACTCAACTTGCACTATTCAGTCATGAATGACAGCAACGTTTGAAGGCCTAAACATATTATTTTAATTAATTTAAATAATATTTCTTTATACTATTATTTATATTTATTTTAAATATAGAATGATTAAAATATAATAATAAAAATAAAATAAATACCTATATCATTATATATTATATTAGTATATTCATTTAAATAATAAAAAAAATAATTAATTAAATTTAACAGGACAAACGGGGAGTCAGACACTTGGTGAGCTGCTACTGAGGACTAGCTCTCCTTCACCTGCCTTGGCATGTGTTGGGTGAGAAGTTTTAGGAGATAAACTTTCCAATGGAACAATTAATTTCTTATCAAAACTTAATGCTGGCTAATTTCTTACTCTCAAAATCTTACTCTCCCTCACAGGGAGCTTCATCGATTCTTTTTGGGGCCAAGTGCAGCTCAAGGATCTTGCCATCTCAGATGCTGAGCTCCTCTACGATTAGATGGGGAAAATGGAAAATAAAAAGGATCTGAAAACTGTGTGTGATGTACAAGCGTGTACCACCAAGGTGGTGTCCAAGGAAAATCACAAAAATCAGTGCAGCTGTCTGCCAACCACACTGCTACATCATCTTACTGCCTATCAGTTGTTTTCTAATTGAATGACTTTAAGTAAATATGGAATTTTTTTAAACCACCAGTAAAAGTCACTAAACGTCTGCGGTTGGAGCAGAAAGAAAATAATTTGCAGCGGCTTCACCTTGAATTTCCCGGGCTGCTGCCGAGCGCACGTACCTGTGAGGGAGCCCATGGACCCTGCCTGCACGGAGACACATCCCTCAGGGGATGATGGCATCCCTCAGGAGATGGCATGGCATCCATCCGGAGCTGTGGGCAAAGGAACAAACCACCTTATGATTTATTTTTTTTCCCCCCACATTTTCATAATATCATAAAATAAATGTATTTTAAAAGTTTGCAAATAAAAGCTTTAATTTTATATATTTACATATCAGGTTACTTAAAGCAAACTAATTTGTACATAAACAGAAATTAAACACTCACATAATCTACCTTTAAAAATACAATGTGATAGGTAATTTTATATAGTAAAGGATTCCAAACCTCTGTCCACCTGATTCATAACAAATTTCTCTGATTTTCTGTTTGAGGGGTGCGCGGGGCTGAGTCTGCGTCACTGGGGGCAGAGCCCGTCAGGTGCTGATCAGGAAACATTTTTCCTGAGATGGAGAAAACCAATCTCTTCTCTATTCTCTGATGTGATGAGGTGTGTCATGTCAAACTATAATTTTCATTACAAGTTATGTGATGCTTTTTTAGGTAGCTGCGAGAATAATAAAAAAAAGAAAGAGGCCAGGAATCGTACCGTCGGCAGAGAATAGATTAACTTCAAGGTGACAGGGAAGAAAAAGGTAAATTACGGTCTCATTTACAGAGCAATTCCCCCGGCCGCAGGAGAGTTGCAATGATTTGAGCTACAAAAATTTGAGCTGAGTCACCAAAAACTAAATAGAATTGAATAAGATTGCTTAGAAAGCAACTACAGTCTCTGTTATTCAGCATTTGTTAAAGGTGCGGGTGCTCGGTTCATTTAGACTTAGTTCTCTCAAGTCTGCCAAAGGAGAACCACTGAGCAGCACCTGAAAATTCTCAAAACTCTCAAAGTTAGGACTAAGAAAAGTATCAATTCTTAAACATAAATATTTTAAATACATTTCACAGGGGACAAGAGGCACAGCTTTTTTAACTCGGCTTATTAAAAAGTATCCTTGGACTATAAATATTTGGACTATGCTCTTTGTGTGCAACTAAACAGAACTATTGGATTAATAACCCGGTAGGGGTGGATGAGTCCCATGAAGTTCACCCGGACTGCTCTGGTTAAAATTTAACTGAAGCACTGGAGAGAAACTGGGAGGCAGGTCTCTTGATTCTTCCTTCTTTAGATGGGCTGGAAAGCTTCCTTTTGCTCTTTGGTGCTTAAATTACCACTATGTTACATATATATATATAAGCACGTAAGTTATTTGTGAATAAATGTATAAGTTCTTCAGAGCAACGTCATTGAAAATGTCATTAAAATCCTATATAATTTGGGAAAAAAAACGCGTTAAGACCATATCACTTAAAAGACCAGTTGCAGATGTTAGAAATAAAATAAATTGATTCCAAATGCGATCACTGATTTAAAGTTTTGAATCAAGAAATCATAACACTAGAACAATTACAGCATAGCATCACTGCCTTACTGGTATTTTCTCCCCTCAGGAAATTCCTTGCCATTTCAAATTCATAAAACTTTAGTCTCTCAATGCCTGTAGAGGATAAAAAAGCTCCAGGAGGAGAGCTCAACAGGTTTATTTAGCAGCACTGTTAAAACAGTCTGCTTTCTAAAGGTTAATTAAAAACAACTCTGGATGATCCAGAAGCATGGGTTCAGTATAACATGGGAAAATGACATTATAATTGATAGAAATGAAAGCTAATGGAGTATCTTCTACTTCATCCTGACATGTATTTAGCCACTGCATGAAAATATATGGAATTTAATTAAGAATTACAGCTCTTTGTTAGCAAATAATCTACTCAGAGTAGGTAGAACCTCCTTACTCTCTCAAAAGCCAAGACCAACCAAGGTGGGAATTTGAACAGAAAAGGAACATCTTTACCATAACAAACTAGATACAGATTTAACAAAAAATCCTTTCCAGCCTGGCTATCAACCTTTCAAGAGAAAATGCAAGAACATGCCTGGAAATTTTGTCAAGAAGTGAAAACTCTGGCAGACAGTGGTAAAGTGAGTGGGGAGTTCCAGCCCCGCAGGCGTCACCCTGTAGGAGGTGTCTCCAGAGCCATGACCTGAAGAGCTACAGGTCGACAAGGCAACCATAAATCATCTGCCGATGAGTCCTCCCACCTGTGCCAGGCTGCTTTGGTGGTAGCTATGGCAACACCTTTTCTCCTGACCAAAGTTCAATTATTTTACATTTTTATTACCGCCGCCATTTGCTTAAAGTTTACCAGAGTAAGTTTCTGCTCACACAAAGAGCAGGTCGCGGGGAGCGAGGAGGAGGAAACAACCTCATGCTAAGTGGGGACCAAGGAGAAGAAAATTACCCTGAAGCAGTGGAATATTTCGGGGGGACAAAATGCCGTCCAGAAAAAAATCAGGCATGTTTGCATCTGCTTTTCTGACCTGTGTTTGCTCTTTCGTGCTGATTTGCGTTGTTCTGGCCACCCAGCACTGGATAAGTAGTGAGGTTCACTTTTCTGGGACCAATTCCACCACCACGGTGAGCCTCACCTACGGACTTTTTAGTGGCACCTGTGACCAGTTCAGCTCGGGACTTCTGGTTCCAGAAAAGAATTTCCAAGGTGAGTGGTGTCACCCCTGGAAGATGATGGTGTCATCTCACTCAAGCAGGTGATGGGTGTAGGAGCCACGGTTCGTTCTTGTGTTCACCTGGGACGATAATAAGTGAGAAGAAAAATATACGTAAACCAGTCTGGGGATTTAAGTGGTGTAAAATAAGACCCTCCCAAAAGTGCAGAAATGCTGCAGCATTCTTGCCAAAAGCAGCTTCTCCTTCCCTGTGGTCTTATCCTATGTCTTGGAACAAGATAAAAATACAGAATAGGAACTTTATGTAAAATCGGTTTTAATTTTCAGAAGGTTTCAGCGAGAAACAGAAAAGCAACATTCAGTTGCCATTTTGTTAAAGGATTACAAACCTAATTCATCTTCCAGGATTTTTTTTTTGTATTTCATTGTGTTAAATTAATTGTTTGATTTAAAATATTTTGTCACCTACTATCAAATTAACATCATTTTTATAGAAGAAGGTTTTTTTATGAGGCTGCTGAAGGGAAAGGAAACAAACACATAAGTCAATAATTTGCATATAAATATAGTGTTTATACCTGTGCTGGACAGTATTGATGACAGTATTTATTCATATATTTAATGACAGTATTCCTTTTATTTCTTCCTTTAAAAGCCCACCATTCCATTTTTAAGTGCTATTATCAAACTCAATAATTTGATTAGTATTTTCAAACCTTATGTTTGCTCATGTCTTTTCTTTTTTTTTTTATATGCTAGACCGAGTAATATGGATGACAACACAGTTTGTCATCTTTTATAAAGCCTTTTTTCCCCCACCCAATGCACAGTTTACAGGTGACTCCTCGTCATCATGACTTTACAAAAATACTCTGAAACAAGGCTATTAGAATAACATTTCAGCAAACATCCGGTAGTTTCAAATTAAACTGTATTTTTTGTTGACATGCAACAGATATATACAATAGGTCTTACTTTTTGTGCATCTGCAGTTCTTGGCATTTATCCTCAATGGCAGAATTATTACAGGAGAAAAAAAGAATAAAAATGGTTAAATAATTGAGGAGGACAGAAAAAATGAGAGATGAGGGAGGAGTGATGCTAGATGAGAATAAAACAAAGTTAAAAAATAAGGGGAACAGGGGAAGGGGTTTTACCTAGAGCAACCTTGGAGAAAGTTAAGACAAGCATGAAAAATGAGAAGCAAAATATGAGAAAAAGCAAAAAACAGAAACAAGAAATTATGCATACCAAGTATGAACCACAGATTCAATACTGTTTTCATGCTGTTCAGCAAAGATTTACTTAACTTTATGGAAAAGTAGCTCTACTGATGTGAAGAAAATCACTCACAAAGCCCAAAGGTGGATAAGCCTGAAATCCATTGCAAGGATCACGGATTTGCACTGATTTTATGTATGTTTCTGTCTCACCAAGTTCAAAGCAATAATCCTGATATACATGTGTGAAAGTGAAGAAAGCCAGTTAAAAGAAAACTAATGGAAATTTGGGAGAGTAGGTCAAACAATTTTGAAACATGAGAAGTACTTTAAGATCTTTTTTTTTCTTTTTTGGTATGTTGTAGTAAGATGTCCCGTCTCAGAGAAGCCACCAAGGCAGAGCACAGCCAAGCTAAGCCTCCAGGTGTTTCCCATTTCCAAGCTCTTTCCCACCTGAATTTAATACAGAAATTGTGTCTGTAGAATCAGGTACCCAAATTACCCCAGTGGCAAAGCTGTGTCACACAAACCACTTCATGTTATAACAATTACATTGGCACGAAACAGCCGAACACGGCAGCGTTCCTGCAAAGCACAGCACACATTGAGTACGTCTCATCATAAATACAAAATCACGAGTCATTCAAAACAGTTCATTCAGAGTCACGTCAGAATAATCGAGGTAATTTTTAGCAGAGTAAATATGCATTTATAAAAATAGCTTATATGTGACTGTATCTCCCCGTGCCAGTTGGCTGGAGCCCCAAGCCTCGCGCCGTGTGCGCCGACTCACTGAGTTTAATCGGGCTCCATGTGAAACCAGGAGTCCACCCGTGGAGAGGATGCTGTCTGGCAGGAATCCGGGGCACGTGTCTTGCCTTTTGTCTGCACAGCAGCCAACACAACCCAATCCCAGGGCCTGGGCACTACCCACGTATAGATTTTAATTACAATTAATGAGAAGCACTCACAGAACACGCGCATCAGGAGAGGATTTCCGTTCTTTGCACGGTCTACACGCATTTTGGTGGTGGTGGCAATTTCCCCTCCACCAGACTCAGGTTTTATGCTTATCGTTTACAAAATATCACCACAATTCTTACATTTAAGCCATTTGGGGATGAACAAAATGAGGGAGCCTCCAGAGTTGCTGGTTGCCTTCAGCAGCTGCTGAGAGAAAGTCCTGCTTCGTGAATAGTCTAAGTATGGTTGTGCCCACCTCCCTCACCAGCTCAGTTGGGTATATATCTAAGATGAAAGGAACTGATTTTAAATTAATTCTTAGGCTCTATACAAAGCATGATTGTCACCTTTTATATTAAGTATGATTCTGTACGTTCTTGAAATAGAAGAAATACTTTTCAGATCTGCATACCATACTATTTTTAAATTCAAATAATCAGGTCCTCCTAAGACAGTAGATGTCTTTTGTTTGACGATGTCCTTAAGTAAATGGATTGCCTGGGCAAGGGAGAAATGAGCAATGGAGTGCTCTCTCCACTCTAAGGTTTCAGGCACCAGTAAGAAGAGTTATAAGCATCTTTTTAAATCCCAGCATGATCTGTTGCTCAGCAAGTAGGGCCTGGCTGGGGGTCTCTGCTGCACACCCTGAGTGTGTTTCTCAAACAGCGTTGGTGTATTTGGGTGTGAGTGGAGGAGAATGGTAATGATGAAAGAGTAAATCCAAGACGATAGCTTGGGGATGCAGAGTACTTGTTAGCTGTAACCCAGGTTGGCTTCTATTAATGGCCATAGAAAAGGAGATGCTCAACAGCCTTTACAAAGACCATAACTTATTATTTTAAAAACCACAACATTAAAAGAAATTCCAGAGTGTAAAACTGATAGACAAACAAAGGAGTATGGTTTTTGCAAGTGTACAGTGTATCAACAGCCCGGTGGGGGTTGCCTCTTTAACAGACTGCCATGAGTGACCTTAATAGAGCCATAAATCAATACGGCTACTTCGGAGGCTCTAGGGATGAGCAGAATGATCCGGCAGAATGTAAAATTATTAAATGACTCGAGTCCTTCGAGTCTTCATTAGCTGTTTTAATGATTTGCCTTAGAAAGGAACCGCCTATAAATATAATAGTCTGTAAAAGAGCTTGTTTACAGCTTTGCCTGTTTCCAAGTCAAACACGTAAAAATTGTGAGCTAGGTGTGGGAAAAGGCACTCCCAGAGAGTCCAGAAAAGCCAGGATTTCTCTGCTGGCAACCAGCAAGGCCAGCAGCACGGGAGGAAGTCTTTGAAATTTGCTGTAGCAGAGAGGAATTGATTAACTTTTCCACTTTTAAAATACATGACAAATGCTTGAAAATTGCTGAAACTTCAATAAAGTTATCATCAGTTTCCAGATGTGCAATGGGATCTCCTGAAAAGTAGAACGTTAGGCTGAACTTGGGTTTTTTGTTTATTTTTGTTGTTATGAATGAACAATTCATTATGCATCATAAGTGATAATAGACCTTGTAAAAGCTGCTGGATAAGCAAACTTAGAAAAGACCTCCAGCCTCCCAGCTACACATTGTCATTCACACTCAGGTCAGCAAAAGTTCAGGAAATTCCATCCCACCGTACAAGAGTTAAAGATGAAAAATAAAAAGAAGATACAGAAAATTAAGGAGAGACCTGATGAAGGCAAACCCCTCTGCTTTCGGTCTGGAATTAGGTTATTTTACACTGATGAAGAGGTTGTCTCCAGCTGTGGGTTACTATCGATCCCATTCAAGTAGATCAACAACTGCAGATTCTTTCCATTTGCACAGACTGATTTATTTAGAAAAAAAAGTCTGCTGCCACAAAACCAGCATTTTATTTAACACCTTTAGTTTTGTGACAGCAGGTGATGGGTGTAGGAGCCACGGTTCGTTCTTGTGTTCACCTGGGACGATAATAAGTGAGAAGAAAAATATACGTAAACCAGTCTGGGGATTTAAGTGGTGTAAAATAAGACCCTCCCAAAAGTGCAGAAATGCTGCAGCATTCTTGCCAAAAGCAGCTTCTCCTTCCCTGTGGTCTTATCCTATGTCTTGGAACAAGATAAAAATACAGAATAGGAACTTTATGTAAAATCGGTTTTAATTTTCAGAAGGTTTCAGCGAGAAACAGAAAAGCAACATTCAGTTGCCATTTTGTTAAAGGATTACAAACCTAATTCATCTTCCAGGATTTTTTTTTTGTATTTCATTGTGTTAAATTAATTGTTTGATTTAAAATATTTTGTCACCTACTATCAAATTAACATCATTTTTATAGAAGAAGGTTTTTTTATGAGGCTGCTGAAGGGAAAAGAACCAAACACATAAGTGAATAATTTGCACATAAATATGGTGTTTATACCTGTGCTGGACAGTATTGATGACAGTATTTATTTATATATTTAATGACAATATTCCTTTTATTTCTTCCCTTAAAAGCCCACCATTCCGTTTTTAAGTGCTATTATCAAACTCAATAATTTGATTAGTATTTTCAAACCTTATGTTTGCTCATGTCTTTTCTTTTTTTTTTTATATACTAGACCGAGTAATATGGATGACAACACAGTTTGTCATCTTTTATAAAGCCTTTTTTCCCCCACCCAATGCACAGTTTACAGGTGACTCCTCGTCATCATGACTTTACAAAAATACTCTGAAACAAGGCTATTAGAATAACATTTCAGCAAACATCCGGTAGTTTCAAATTAAACTGTATTTTTTGTTGACATGCAACAGATATATACAATAGGTCTTACTTTTTGTGCATCTGCAGTTCTTGGCATTTATCCTCAATGGCAGAATTATTACAGGAGAAAAAAAGAATAAAA